CTTGATACCAAAATAAGAACTCCAAATGTTATAAAATGTATAAATTGTAACTGCATGATTTTACTTTTTTTTGTCAAATTCAAAATATATCAAAGCAATAACAAAGAACCCAAGACAATAAAACAACTAATGATAAAATTTTTAAATCATATTAGAAAAACTAAATTAAATATAGTTATTGTTTTGAAAATCAAAAAAGTGTCCAATAAATTGAATGACCTGCTTTGTGAAATAAAAAAAAGCATATAAAAAAGATCTGATATCGATTTTGATAAAGATGTTCAAAATCTATCCAAGTTAGATACTTATGAAAAAAATATCCTGTTTATGATATGTGGATTCTTCTTAACAATTGATAGTATTGTCATGAATTCATTGAATAATTTACTTATTAAAGATCTTGAATCATTAGCAAATTAAACCAAACAGATAGAAATCCTACTTAAATTCTATAAAGAACAAAATCATTATAAAGAAACACATAATGAATTCTATAAAGATATGAGCAAAATATTCTTTTTTGACAAGTATCATCTTCTTCAAAGATGTCATGAAGATCTTGGTAAATTCAAGGAAGTCTTTAATTATTGTAAAAAATTTTTAAATTGCAATGTGCCTTTTGGTAAAAAGCTTCTTGCTTATGCATTCATTAAGTGTATTGTATTCTTCTCATTCTTTGTCTGAATAATTAGACATCAATTTAGTAAAAACATTTTAGGAACAGTTTTTATAACTATTGGGTCTGCATTGAAGAAGCTATGATGTTTGTGACTATTTAAACATTTACAAACTTTTTGGTAATATTACTGAACTTCAAGCAAGAAAAATTTGCAATGATCTAATCTTTCTTGTGAAGAATATGTGAACCTCATAAATCTTAAAGTATGGAGATAACAATGTTAATAGGTTTATCTTGGAAATAGTTTGTAAATATGTAGACTATCTTGAAGAGATAATGTTAAATTTTACAGAATTCAGCAATGAAAAAACCAAGAAGAACCTATTTAAGTACATAAACTACATCTTAACATATACAAGAGCAAACTTCTTTGAATGAAGAGTTATCAAATATAGTAGTTTTCATAAGTTCAAATACCAAAAAGTGATTTTTAATAATTGCAATAAATTAAAATTGCATAATTCTAAATCTACATTTTGATTTGCTGTTTTACTAATGAATATATTATTAATAAAAGATTTATACTATTTCATAAAATGTATTACATTAAAAACTATTTAAATAAACATAATGATAACAATTATTTTTAAAATCAAATTTGACAATGATAATAATTTCAAATAGGATATGAAAAATTATTGTTAATAATATTGAATCTAATTATCTCTATGATGCTTTACAATGCATAAACAAGATTATTGTTTATTTTGTTGTTCAGAGAATGTGGCAAGAATTTTTTATAAATTCTATTCAGTGTTAGAAGTAAATGAAAATGATAAAGCCAAACAGATTTTGGAAGAAATTGTACATATTCTCTTTGAATCTCTAAGTAATAAAAGTAAAGAAATTATTTTAAGCAATCTAAAAATTAAAAATGATAAGCTTATAAAAAAGCTGTAATCAACTATCTAAAATTTATATGACACATAGATTATTTATTTATTTTTAAGCTATGAGATACATTTATTAAAACAGATAATGTGTATACTATTTCTAATAAGTTTTTGTTAAAGTTGTTTCAGAATTAGCAATCTTGAACTAATTTACTATTATCTTTTTTTGAATTAGATATTCAAACATGTGAATTATTATTATTGATTCTTGTTCAAAGAAAGTTGAAAGTTCTTTATATTGTCTCATAATTGACTATACATTTTATAATATAGTTTTTAAGTTTATTAAGAATCTGGTTAATAAGATGATTTCAAAATTCAAAATTAATATGCTTTGAATTGAGAATTATTTTATTATCAAAACTAATAACACTATTACTAAACTGAAAGTGAATGATTAATGCAAGGCTCTTGTTCAATATTTATCATCTTTTGAGAAGCTTATTCTTAATAAGATTAAATATGATGAAAGATTTTTGCTAAAACTAAAAGTTTTAAGTCTTACTGTTTACACAAAAATAGAATTAGTTATATTTTATTCTACTATAAAGAAAAATAAAAATATTAAATCATTTAAGATCAAATGAGTATGTGATTATTATATTATACAAAGTTTTTATATTTTGAAACTAAGGTAAAAGTATTTAATAATCTTATTTCAGGATTCTTTAAATTTATTTTACCTTAGAGATAAGGTTCTGTAGCCTAGTCATCTAGGCTCACCTCTCTTCACAGACAAGGTTGATGGTTCAATTTCAGCTGAAGGCAAAACTCTGTAATCTATAGAAGCATATGAATGTATATGAAGCCCTGTGGCTTAAGTCCATGTGAATAGAAGATCAGTATATAAGGAAGTTTCCAGAAAGAAGTTTTCTAATATGGAGAGTTAGTGCTTGATGTAAGAGAAGTAGTGAACATACCAGAAATGAAGAAAAGGTGCACTAGTAAGTGATATGATAAACATAAAAGGAAACTATAGAAAAGAAATAAACTTACTAAAACTTAAACACCTCTGGCACCAACATCAGTTTAGTGGATATGGGATACACTAATACAGATAAAATCTAAAGAGATAATCTAGGTACCATACTTAGTAAGTTTGTGTTGAGGATAAATTTGAAGGACTATGAATACTTAATAACATCCATGAGGTGGTACCATGATATAAATAATAATTAGATAGTCCTAACCTAATATGTCTATATAGTAATAGAAGGTTGTAATGCATAGGATTAAAAATCAGAAAGTTTAAATAGAAGATTCATAGGCAGATCTTAGATATAATAACTAGTGAGTAACCTTTGGGCAGAACCCTTAATTAAATAATAACTAAAGTTATACATGTGACTAGTTATACTTTTGTTGATAAACTTTGTATTAATTAATAACCAGATAATACTCAATAAAAGACAAGTAGGCAAGATTGCCACTTATAATAATAATAATAAATATTATTTTACCTTACAAAATTGTTTATCTTGGCACTATAGTAAAGATTATTCTTAATAATTCAAATCTTGTAAGAAAAATATTAGATAATAAGAAAATCAAATACACTTCTAGATAATATGTTATTTTTATAAAAAAATATATATTACATAAATAAATATGTTATCAAATTTCTTTTCTTGAATTCTTGTACTGATTCTGGTTTTTATAAATAAACATCTACTTTTATTAGTTAAAGCAATAAAAAATGTCTTCTGTGAATATTGATCTTTGTGAACTTTCAAAAAGTATATCATTAAAAAATGCAATTGATTTACTTCAAATAGTATATGAAGAAAAATATTAAGATAATTCAAGAAATAAAAGTTTCTATTTAAGTAATTCTACTTATTAAAAAACTCCAAGCAAGTTTACTCTAATAAGAAACTATTTTAAACAAAATTATACAATTGAACTCAAATATTTTTATCAAAAATGTAATAATCATTATTTTAATCAAGAATATACCAAATTTGATTAGCATTATGAAATATGCCTATAATGTTTACAAGTTGGCCCACACACATATTGTATATCTTGCAAATCAATTATAAAGTTTTGAAGATATGTATTCCAAAGTGCATTAGCATATTTAACAAGATTTAAAAATAATAGTAATGTCAAAACCTAGGCCAAATATTTATTCTATTGTAATAAGTATAATGAAAATGCATTTCAAGAACACTTAAAAATGTGTCAAGAAGTTATCAGCAATGATCTTAAAATTGTATTCTTGGAAGTAAATCCATATCTTGTCAAGTTGAATGCAATAATAACTACACCAAAGTTGATCAATCTTAAAAAGAAACTATGTGTAAATTGTGATAAGATTTATAATAATACAAAACTATGTATCTCAAAAAGAACAAAATACTGTTGCAACTATAAAAAGTCTGGATATATCAAATGAAACTGTTCAGAGGTACAATGTTAAAAATATAATGAATTTGGTTATCTCAAAACAGATTATAGTTACAGATAGTGTAAATTAGTAGATTGACATCCATATATTGCAAGACTGAAGTAGTTAGATTAGTTAAATATTAAAGTTAACTATTGAATAGTTTTATTAACTATATTTGGTTTGCAATATATAGATGTTAATCATTTTTTTATTTATTTAATTGTATCTTTAACAAATTTATATATAATAAAATAACTATAAATAACCAAGTAAAAGTGTATTGAAAAATTGAATATAACAATGTCCAAATTACAGAAACATCTAATTGTATTCTATTTTGATAAAAAAACTTACATATTATGTAATTATAAAATCAACACAATAGTGATATAGCTTTTATAAAAAAACATTTTATCAACAGACATAATAATAAATGGTCAGTATTCATAAATATGAATTTATTTAAGAGCAAAACTCCAAATAAGAAACATCTAGTAGAAAAATATTTTTATAAAAAAAAATGCATTATGCAATTATGAATTTTGAGTTAATCCAAAACTTTCAACTATGAAGAAACACTTCATAGATACTTATAAAACAGATTGGAATACATTCAGTAAAACCAAAAAGTTTATGATTAAATTATCACAAAATAGAACTTAAACTCAAGTTGTTAAAAAACCAAATATGAAACCTACTGTTTAAACAAATAAAATAAAAGAGTTAAAACCTAAATCTAAAAATACTGTTTTAAAAAAGAAAGTTAGAGTAGTTAAAAAGATTTTCAAGAAACCTATTATTGTTAAAAAAATAATGATATCCAAATTGTAAATCACTATTTTAACCAATATAATATGCTAAATATATATTGATACAACACTTGTTACAAGATAGTCTAACCAGAATTAGTCTTTTTGAATATAAAATTCAGATGTAAAAAAAGATTTTTAGATGATCCAGATAAATTTAGAAATATCATGTGACTTTATAAAATATATAAATAAAGCAATTCTAAACCTAAGTTAATTTACAAAAAATGTTTGAAGCAATTTTTGCTAAAGCATCATTATTTAAACATTTTATTGAAGCAACAAGAAAGCTTGTTACTGATATTAATATCAAGTTTACAAAATCTGGCATCAATTTTACAAGCATGGATTTATCACACATTGCACTCACTTCTGTCTATCTTAATAAAAAAAAGTTTCAAAAAATATGTTTATAACAAGGATGAAATTATTGGCATAAATCTTGATTATTTAAACAAGATATTTAGTTGTGTGAAGAATAATAATGCTCTTACACTTAGACTAAAAAATTCAGATTTTTTAAATGTTTTATACAAGGGTTCTGATGATTTTAGTAAAACTAAATACAAAATTCAATTACTAAATATTGACCAGAAAAGGATCAATATTCTATCTACTAATCATAGTATAATCATTGATATGCCTTTTGTTGAATTAAAGAAAATATTTTTAGACCAAATGATCATAAATAAAGCAGTAAGAATAATTGTAAAACAGAATATTGAAACAGTTAAATTTATTTCAACTGGTGACTTTAATAATAAATATATTATTATTTTGTATAAAAAAACAGATAGGTTTGATAATGAGATCAATATTAAAGCAAAAAATGATATAAAAGATTTATTTTTATTTAAATTTTTATTAATGTTCATGAAAGCATTTTCTTTATCAACTCATATACAAATTTGTTTAGAAAATAACTTTTCAATTATTATTAAATATAAAAATAAACAAAACTATATTCACTACTACCTAGTATCAAAAATAGTTAAAGAATAAACATGCATTTTATTTATATTTTTAGTTAAATAAAATCTAAACTATAAACTAAAAGTTATGTATTTTAGAGGTTCAATTACTCTATATTATATTCTTCATATTTTTTGATTGCATCTTTATTATCTTTTTGTGCAGCTATAATTAAATATTTTTTATCTTTTTTGTTATTTTTAAAACCTTGGTTATCAGTATAATAAATTGAACTTAATATGTAAAATGCAGTTGCATTTTCATCTTTTTTAGCAACTGACTTCAAGTAATCAATAAATTTTTTAATTATATTTTCATCATGCTTTTCAGAAAGTATCATGTATCAAAATGATGCTTTAAATCTGTAATAGTTATTCTTAGCATCACTTTTAGCAACTTCTTTGAATAAGGTCTTTGCCTTAAGAATATTCATTAAAATACCAAGTTCTTTATAAATATAAACATTTTTTAGTATTTTCCATTAATGAAGATTTCTGAATTATTATAATTCACAGAATAATTAAAGTATCTAAAGTACAAAGATACAGCACCAAGTGTAGTAACTAATCCTTTAGATTTTTATATATTTGTATAAGATTGTATAAAACATTCTTAATAGTATCATTACCAATGAAACTAAAAACAACTCTCTCCGCTGATCACTCGTACACAAAATCGACAGAAGCAAATTGAAAGTTTTCTCAAAAACGACTGTTACAACC